TTCAATATGTTCAGAGCGGCGGTAACAGATCGCTTTTCGTGAACAACCAGATGTTTTTGTATATCAGACATCTCTTTACCATATTTCACAGGAGCAGACGAGATAACAGCGTCCTCGTATTCTTCGCTGTCTCTGCTCTCTGCTACAGACGTAAACTGCACGGGTGGAGCTGAGTATGTGTTTGGTTCATAGCGCTTTGACAGTGAATCCCAGTCTACGATACTCTCCTCCTTTGTTTCCAAAAAAGATGGTCTTCCGACGGTTGCAAACAAAGTCGTTGGCGAAGGCAATTTAGTTTTGGGTGATAACACTTTCTCCTTTGAAGTCTTTGACTTCAAACTGTTTTGAAAATCCTTCTCAGTCTCTCCATCACTATCTGAATCCGAACCAGAACTAGAATCGCCAGCAGTGAAGAAAGATAGAGGGTCTCTTTTATCTTCGTCGCCTTTTTCATCCGTGTCCGCCATCTTGCATTCTTTCGAATCATATGCAACACTACGTTACCCCATACATGATGTACCTACTATCAAATTCAAGTCCAGTCTCTCGCATTGCTAATTATTCTAAATTTTTGCAAACATGGCGTCGTTCGCTGTTGTTCAGGTGTCGTAAATTTTATCGAAATGCCTCAAAGGAATTATAGAAAGCGCCGTGAAACAGAGGAAGAGGGCGATGAACAGCACGAGCCAGCCTCAGTAACCGAAGCGATCGAGGAAAGAAAAGAACTGCAAGGATTTCGGAAGAAACGAGGCGGTGTATCGGCGGCTGCGCTTGCTTTAGGAAAAAAACTTGCCCCAGAAGAAGAGGTAGAGAGTGATCCTTTTAAACTGAAGACAGGAGGACTTGTGGAGTTGAATAGCTTGATTCAGGATAGAAATAGGGACAGAGAAGGGGAAGACAAAGAAAAGTCTATCAACTTAGGAGCCAATTTTGCGGCCGAGACGAACAGGAGAGATGAAGATACGCATATGTTAAAATACATTGAAGAAGAAATGGCCAAACGAAAAGGCGTTCAACTCGAGAAGACTGTTCAGAGCAAGTAAGTGTTTTTTAAAACGCTGGTATTAGATAGAACACATTGCTTGTACATTTTGTTTGAACGTTGTCACTAAAGCAGCCATTTGAAAGAGTATAAAACGAATGGTGGGTTTTAAACTCTTTTAGAGATTTAATGGTGGTTTCAGTATCAAAGGTATCAATAGGGAGCTTATGCAACCACACTGGTGTCAGCAATAGACAATATTTGTATTCCCCGACAGCCGTGGGACGAGAGACTTCTCAGCATGATTACCCGTCCCAAGACCGTCGGGGAATACGAATATTGTCTATTAAAGATGTCAACAAAAAAAAAAATGAATTCACACTATTTCAGACTTCATTGTTATTATTCCATCTTGTCTAGTTTGTCAATTGTACCGGGTACAGTAGTTAATAGATAAACTGATGATCGATAAGAGTCGTCAGTTATTGAGATCATTCTTCAATGGATTGAGTGGACATGCAGAAATCTATGAAAACCAAAGAAAAAAAGGGAATGCTATGAAGACTACACCTGGAGTAGTTGCTGAAGTCAAAACTAAAATGTGTTAAGGTGAAGCCTGTCTCGTTTGTTGTGCTTGCCAAATAGCATTGTTATGTTCAGTTTAACTGAACCATATTCTCCACAAGATTATTCCTTGTTATCAAGAATACTTCTCCCTAAAGCATCAAAAAGGAAATTTCAGTCGGTAATTGTACAGTGACGGCAAAGGCTTGTACCAAAAACTGTAATGTGCTTGAAGAGTTGCTGTTTTGTTTATTAAATGTACATGTACTACTGTTTTAAAGTTCTCATTTCTGTTGCTATTGTGGTTGCATAAGCTCGTTAATGGGACAAATTGCCAGACTGAGACTGTGTGTGGCATATTCTCAACAGTGCTATGAATACTATAAGTGACTTTTACTATGTTAAATTATTGTAAAAAAGAAAATGGCAATAAACAGGTGGGAATTTGGAAGTGATGGTTTTGAAGTGAAGTTTCGAATTGATAGGTACAAGTTGTAACTACTTTTGCATGTAGTTTTCTCATCTCATGTTGTTTTTTTAAAGCGTGTAGTTTTATTTTCATTTGAGAAGATTAATGATGACTGAAATTCTTTACAGACCTAAATCGAAAGAAGATTTGTTGTATCAAGTTCCAGAAAACATCAATGTAAGGTCAAAGATAATGACTTCAGAAGAGATGCTGTCCAATCAGATGCTATCTGGAATCCCTGAAGTGGATCTTGGCATTGAAGCCAAAATACTAAACATTGAGGCCACTGAAGAAGCCAAGCAGAGAGTGTTAGAGGAACAGCGGAATAAGAAATCAAGAGGTCCTACTGAAATGGTGCCTACTAACATGGCTGTGAATTTTATGTTACACAGTAGATGTAAGTTTCCTTTTGTAATGGAATCTCACTGTATAGTTCAATGTATAAAAGTGAAATATTGGTGGGTGTTTATTCATGTGATTGGAAGATTTAGTAAAGACAATGCAATGTCAATAGTGAAAGCACCCTAAATGGTCTGAACCTGATTTCTATTGCTTGACTTGGTGTTCCACCATTGGTCAGTTTTAAGATTTGCATGCACCATCCTTGTCTCTGTAAGAGAGGTCTATTTCTGGATTAATGATCAGATGGCATAGCTCTTACAAGGCATTGCAATATTGGTTGGAAATTAATAAACTAACAAAGTTTACAAATGGAAACTACACTGTAGCCCTAAGACAGAAGAGCTTTGACGTGGAAAGGTCCAATGCAATGAGATTTTAAACTAATGGCGAGTTGTGGCACTACTACAATAACTATTAAATTAAATGTACATTGTATCAACCCTTACTAACAGAATAAACCTTAACTGGTTTTCAGTTTTTGATGAGCAAAAAGTCATTGATGCTGAAAGTAAAAGAGCTGCAGCAGCAAAAGACAAGGCACAGGAACAAGAGAAAGCAATCAACAAAGCAACGGTGAAGGCAAATGATTCTGCTACAGTGCCAAGTAGATCAGAACCTATACCAAGCAAGAAAAGAACTGGTGATAAGGCTGAAAAGGCAACTGATGACTTCTTTTATGAGAAATTTAGGAAACGTGCTCGAGATTCATGGAGATATCAGTAAACTTTAATGTTGTTACATGTACGTGAATGAGGATCACATGTTAATGAAATTTGGTCAATATTATGTGTATACCTTATTATAGGAAATTAACGCTCCATGAAATTAACCCCAATTTTGGAACCTGTCCAGACATTCTTGACACCTAAAAACATTAACTACAAGCTTTCTTTCTTTCCATTTACCCTTTATTTTTTATCTTTCACAAAAGCTAAGGCGAAGGTTTACAATATTTCAAGTTCATCTTCATTGTTGTCGCTGTCAGAAAGTGATGTCAATATCTTCTCCTTTGATTTCAGCAAAGTAGATTTTGAATCGTCAACATAGTCTTTCTCGACCGAATATGAGAATCGTGTTAATTTCCTTTATTATGAAATTCTACCTCCTCTTTTGCGTTAATTTTCTTTATTCAAAAGTCATTTCCATTAAATTCGCGTTAATTTAAGTTGCGTTAATTTCCAATACCTTAATTTCATGGAGCGTTAATTTTCTATAATAAGGTATGTACATGTACCAAATTTCATTTTTATTTGATTTATGCAGCAGCAAGCTGAATTCAGCTGAGTATTTTGTAATTTCCATTTATCAACTCACATTAGCTAACTAAATTGAAGTTGTACAGTAGATGCTGTTGTTACACTGGAAGGTGAAATGATAACCTTTGGTGTACAGATGTCTGTTGGAAACTGATTTTCATGTTAAAACTGCCACTTTCTTTAACTTGAAAGAAAACCTCTCTTAAATGTACACTGCTGGTGGGAGCAAAATATTAACAAGCACCACCCATCTCAAAAGTTCCCCATCAGTAATTTTTTGAGGTTGTTTATGCTGATGATGTCGATCATCGAAGGCAGCATAGTCTTTGTAATGCTAACTTTTGTTTTGCCAGTTTCTTTCTCATATATTCACCAACCTTAAAATTCGCCATTCGCCATTTTCACATTTCCCATAGTACCTGGTACACCTTGTTTGCTGCCCAAAATTTTGCATAAGCGTTGTCTTTTATTTCCCTTGGGACGACTGTAACACCCAGGAGAACTAAAAAACAAAGGTTATGCAAAGTTATGGGGGGCAAACAAGGTATTTTATGGAAAATGTGCAAATGGCGAATAGCATTTAAATCATATTTAATATGCAACCTACCACCATTCTAGTCCTAGCGCTATGCATGAGATTTGTCACCATAGTTTAATGGCTTTAGTTCCCATAAGTGTCCTGTAGCTCAGTGGTAGAGCATCTATACTAGAAACCAGAATGCGATGGGTTAAAATCCTTTCGGGAGAACTTGATAATCTTTTTTCTGCATTGCCAGTGTCACCAACCCAAATAATCTCATTCTCATATATTCATCAGCCTTAAAATTAGCCTGTGCCAGGCTCTTGGTCAGTGCAGATGAGCGAAAATAGTGAAATAGTGAACAAGTGAAAAACAGCAGGAAGAAAGAAGGGGACGTCCTGAAAAACCATTTCTGATGTCAAAATGTCAAAACGTTAAAAGTTGCATTGTAGGAGGGTTTACACATGCTCTACATGTTTGATAGACTTTGTGTGTGAAGCCAAATGACTGACATAGGTGTTGAAGTAAACTTTCACAATTATTGACCAATCATAGGGTATACCAGGAGCTCGCATACTGGAATGAAGTATTGAAAACAAGGCTTACAGGCTCCACTTCTCCATCTCTCCCCAGCCCCCATGCGGTTTTTGTTCAACTTTTCTCAATTTACCCTAGACCTAGCCTGAAATTCATCCGATTGCTTCGAGTCCTTTTATCCTCTCAACAACTGAGGGAGTAATAACGACTCAAAGTAATCGGATGAAATTCAGGCTACCCTCGGCCCAGCTATCTTGGATCCTGGAACAGGCTAGCTTAAAATTCACCATCACATATCACTGCAAATGTTGCCACTTCTCAACAACCCATAAAATGTAAAATATATTGGTGAGAAATAATGTCAATAAAGATCCAAGATTTCAATAATTTATTGTTAGTATTATTTTTCAAATTTTTTTGCAATCCCTATTTCACTCTTCTTATGAATTTACGACATATTCATCTGATGACCTATCCGGATCATGTTTTCTTCTAAGCAGTGTTTGTTGTTCTCTGTCATATTGCTGAGTATCCAAAAATATATTAACAGAAGCTAGGGCATTCTGAGCCCAGTCTGGATAACTTTTATCTGGAAACATTTTGTTCATGAAGCCTTGAACAAACTCAGGAAAATTGTCCTTCTTGATGCTTTCTCTTATGTCTCGCATCAGCTGCATCTAAAACAGATTAAAACAGGTTACTTACACGAAAAAAATTCCAACTTTTGTCTTTGACTTCAAACTGTTTTGAAAATCCTTCTCAGTCTCTCCATCACTATCTGAATCCGAACCAGAACTAGAATCGCCAGCAGTGAAGAAAGATAGAGGGTCTCTTTTATCTTCGTCGCCTTTTTCATCTGTGTCCGCCATCTTGCATTCTTTCGAATCATATGCAACACTACGTTACCCCATACATGACGTACCTACTATCAAATTCAAGACCAGTCTCTCGCATTGGTAATTATTCTAAACTTTCGCAAACATGGCGTCGTTCGTTGTTGTTCAGGTGTCGTAAATTTTATCGAAAATGCCTCAAAGGAATTATAGAAAGCGCCGTGAAACAGAGGAAGAGGGCGATGAACAGCACGAGCCAGCCTCAGTGACCGACGCGATCGAGGAAAGAAAAGAACTGCAGGGATTTCGGAAGAAACGAGGCGGTGTATCGGCGGCTGCGCTGGCTTTAGGAAAAAAACTTGCCCCAGAAGAAGAGGTAGAGAGTGATCCTTTTAAACTGAAGACAGGAGGACTTGTGGAGTTGAACAGCTTGATTCAGGATAGAAATAGGGACAGAGAAGGGGAAGACAAAGAAAAGTCTATCAACTTAGGAGCCAATTTTGCGGCCGAGACGAACAGAAGAGATGAAGATACGCACATGTTAAAGTACATTGAAGAAGAAATGGCCAAACGAAAAGGCGTTCAACTCGAGAAGACTGTTCAGAGCAAGTAGGTATTTATAAAACGCTGGTATTTGATAGAGCACATTGCTTGTACATTTTGTTTGAACGTTGTCACTAAGCAGCCATTCGAAAGAGTATAAAACGAATGGCGCGTTTTAAACTCTTTTAGAGATTTAATGGTGGTTTCAGTATCAAAGGTATTAATAGGGAGCTTATGCAACCACAATGGTGTCAGCAATAGACAGTATATGTATTCCCCGATGGCCATGGGACAAGAGACTTCTCAGCATGATTACTCGTCGCAAGACCGTCGAGGAATACGAATATTGTCTATTAAAGATGTCAATCAAAAAAATGGATTCACACTATTTCAGACTTCATTGCTATTATTCCATCTTGTCCAGTTTGTCAATTGTACCGGGCATACAGTAGTTAATACGTAAACTGATAATCAATAGCAATTGTTAGTTAAAGATATCATTCTTCAGTGGATTGAGTGGACATGCAAAAATCTATGAAAACTAAAGAAAAAAAGGGAATGCTATGAAGACTGAGCCTGGAATAGTTGCTGAAGTCAAAACTGAAATGTGTTAAGCTAAAGCTAGTCTCATTGGTTGTACTTGCCAGATAGCATTGTCATGTTCAGTTTAACTGAACCATATACTCGTCAAGATTATTCCTTGTTATCAATAGTACTACTCCCTAAAACATCAAAGAGGAAATTTCATTCAGTAATAGTGTAGTGACAGCAAAGGCTTGTACGAAAAACTGTAATGTGTGTGCAGAGTTGCTGTTTTGTTTATTGAATGTACATGTACTACTGTTTTAAAGTTCTCATTTCTGTTGCTATTGCAGTTGCATAAGCTCCTTAACCCTTTAAGCCCTGGTATCCACGTAGAAATTCTCCAAACTGATCTCCTTACATTTCTTTAAAGAATTAGTTGTGAGAATTTGATAATAGATCAAGGCATTTTCTCTTGGGTGATCATTTTTTTTATTCTCATAACTTATCTCTCGACAGTGTATGGATATTGTCAGGAGAAAATTGATCTTGGTCACTGTTGAGACTTAATGGGTTAATGGGAAAAATTGCCAGACTGAGACTGTGTGGCATATTCTCAACAGTGCTATGAATACTATGAGTGACTTTTACTATGTTAAATTATTGTAAAAACAAATGGCAATAAACAGGTGGGAATTAAGAAGTGATGGTTTTGAAGTGAAGTTTCGAATTGATAGGTACAAGTTGCAACTATTATTTTTATGTAGTTTTCTCATCTTATGTTGTTTTTTTTTAACGTGTAGTTTTATTTTCATTTGAGAAGATTAATGATGACTGAAATTCTTTACAGACCTAAATCGAAAGAAGACTTGTTGTATCAAGTTCCAGAAAACATCAATGTAAGGTCAAAGATAATGGCTTCAGAAGAGATGCTGTCCAATCAGATGCTATCTGGAATCCCTGAAGTGGATCTTGGCATTGAAGCCAAAATACTAAACATTGAGGCCACTGAAGAAGCCAAGCAGAGAGTGTTAGAGGAACAGCGGAATAAGAAATCAAGAGGTCCTACTGAAATGGTGCCTACTAACATGGCTGTGAATTTCATGTTACACAGTAGATGTAAGTTTCCTTTTGTATAATGGAATCTCCCTGTATATTTTAATGTATAAGGGTGAAATATTGGTGGGTGTTTATTTATGTGATTGGAAGATTTAGTAGTAAAGACAATGCAATGTCAAAAGTGAAAGCACCGTAAAAGGTCTGAACCTGATTTCTATTGCTTGACTTGGTGTTCCACCATTGGTCAGTTTTAAGATTTGCTTGCACCATCCTTGTCTTTGTAAGAAAGGTCTATTTCTGGATTAATTATCAGATGTCATAGCTCTTACAAGGCCTTGCAATATTGCTTGAGAAATTAATAAACTAACAAAGATTACAATTAATGGAAACTACACTGTAGCCCTAAGACAGAAGAGCTTTGACACGAAGAGGTCCAATTAAATGAGATTGTAAACTAATAGAGAGTTGTGACACTACCGTAGAGTTCCGATAGTAGCGACCCTCGTTACTTTTGGAATTAGCAGCCTTTGGGGGTCGCTTCTTTCGGGATTTACTAACGGCCACAAAAAATTGACGTTAATTTCGGGGGGTCGCTACTTTTGGGAGGTCGTTACTATCGGAACTTTATGGTACTACAATAACTATTAAATTAAATATACATTGTATCAACCCTTACTAACAGAATAAACCATAACTGGTTTTCAGTTTTTGATGAGCAAAAAGTCATTGATGCTGAAAGTAAAAGAGCTGCAGCAGCAAAAGACAAGGCACAGGAACAAGAGAAAGCAATCAACAAAGCAACGGTGAAGGCAAATGATTCTGCTACAGTGCCAAGTAGATCAGAACCTATACCAAGCAAGAAAAGAACTGGTGATAAGGCTGAAAAGGCAACTGATGACTTCTTCTATGAGAAATTTAGGAAGCGTGCTCGAGATTCATGGAGATATCAGTAAACTTTAATGTTGTTACGTGAATGAGGATTACATGTTAATGAAATTTGGTCAAGATTACGTGTATATTTACATGTACCAAATTTCATTTTTATTTGATTTATGCATTAGCAAGCTGAATTCAGCTGAGTATTTTGTAATTTCCATTTAGCTACTAAATTGAAGTTGTACAATAGATGCTGCTGTTACATTGGAAGGTGAAATGATAACCTTTGGTGTACAGATGTCTGTTGGAAACTGATTTTCACTTTAAAACTGCCACTTCCTTTGCTAGCTCTGATGTTTATGTTTGAAAGAATACCTCTTTTAAATGTACACTGCTGGTGGGAGCAAAATATTAACAAGCACCACCCATCTCAATAATTTTTTGAGGTTTATGCTGATGATGTTGATCATCGAAGGCAACATAGTTTTTGTTAATGCTAAGTCTTGTTTTGCCAGTTTCTTTCTCATATATTCACCAACCTTAAAATTCTCCATTCGCCATTTTCACATTTCCCATAGTATCTGGTACACCTTGTTCCCCCCAAAATTTTGCATAAGCATTGTCTTTTATTTGTCTTGGGACGATTGTAATACCCAGGAGAAATAAAAAACAAAGGTTATGCAAAGTTTTGGGGGGCAAACAAGGTGTGTTATGGAAAATGCGCAAATGGCGAATAGCATTTTAATCATATTTAATATGCCACCTACCACCACTCTAGTCCTAGCACTATGTATGAGATTTGTCACCGTAGTTTAATGGCTTTAGTTCCCATAAGTCTCCTGTAGCAAAGTGGTTAGAGCATCTAGACTAGAAACCAGAATGTGATGGGGTCAAATCCTGTCGGGAGAACTTGATCTTCTTTTTTCTGCATTGCTAGTGTCACCGACCGAAATAACATCATTCTCATCATTAGGCTTGAAATTAGTCTGTGCCAGGCTCTCGGTCAGTGCAGACGAGTGAAAATAGCAAGCAGGCAGTGAAACATTGAACGAGCAAAAAACAGTAGTAAGAAGAAGAAGAATCTGTATTCGTCTTTTTAAATACCTTAATCTTTCCCCAACCCCGCCCACTTCCTGAAAAACCGTTCCTCATGTCAAAATGTCAAAACATTGAAAGGTGCTTTGTAGGAGGGTTTACATGTTTGTTAGACTCTGTTTGTGTGAAGCCAAATGACTGACGTAAGTGTTGAAGAAAACTTTCACAATTGACCAATCATAGGGTATACCTGTCCAGGAGCTGGCATACCGGAATAAAGTATTGAAAACAATGCTTACAGGCTCCACTTCTCCATCTCTCCCCAGCCCCCATGCGGGTTTTGTTCATCTTTTCTTGATCTACCCCAGGCCCAGCTATCTTGGAGCCTGGAACAGGCTAGCTTAAAATTCACCATCACATATCACTGAAAGTATTGCCACTTCTCAACAACCCATAAAATATAAAATATATTTTTGAGAAGTAATGTCAATAAAGATCCAAGATTTCAATAATTTATTGTTAGTATTATTTTTCAAATTTTTTTGCAATCCCTATTTCACTCTTCTTACGAATTTACGATATATTCATCTGTGGACCTATCCAGATCATGTTTTCTTCTAAGCATTGTTTGTTGTTCCCTGTCGTATTGCTGAGTATCCAAAAATATATTGACAGAAGCTAGGGCACTTTGAGCCCAGTCTGGATAACTTTTATCTGGGAACATTTTGTTCATGAAGCCTTGAACAAACTCAGGAAAATTGTCCTTCTTGATGCTTTCTCTTATGTCTCGCATCAGCTGCATCTAAAACAGATTAAAACAGGTTACTTACACGAAAAAAATTCCAACTTTNTTTGTTGTTCTCTGTCATATTGCTGAGTATCCAAAAATATATTAACAGAAGCTAGGGCATTCTGAGCCCAGTCTGGATAACTTTTATCTGGAAACATTTTGTTCATGAAGCCTTGAACAAACTCAGGAAAATTGTCCTTCTTGATGCTTTCTCTTATGTCTCGCATCAGCTGCATCTAAAACAGATTAAAACAGGTTACTTACACGAAAAAAATTCCAACTTTATATGCTCTCTAGTTCTAGTTCTCTTATTGAGGTTGGTTTTTTTAACCATCTCCAGCGACACTCTTTATGGTCTGATTCTCTGGATTCTCAGAAGTTCCAGGTCGCTCGCAGCCACGCACAATCTCCCTTCTACAACGTGGAAGGGAGAGAGTGTGTGGCCGCGAGCGAACTGGAGCGTTTGAGAATCAGGCTATACTCGACTGCTTGCCAATAATACATGTACGCAAGCGAAAGAGATTGATAACTTCTGATGTTAACAATTAGTATGAAATCTACCGTTGTGGATGCAGGTAGCCCTCTAATTGCGCTCACCAAACCAGAGAAATGGTTAGTACTTTGATGATTATTCCCCTTGAAGCTGAAAGAAATTGTTACCACTGGAGGATCGCATATAAGGATCAAGCTGGTTCAGTTTGCTACAAAATTATTTGTAGCGGTCAAGAAAGCTGGAAAAGATTGACTGTGAAGCAGTTCCAACAGATCGAAGTTGGCGAACAGGACGTTGACGAAACGACCGTAAATCGGATTTCCACTGTCGCGTAATTTACGTGCATTAATAAAATAGAGGCAATTTATGAAGGACGACGGGTAAACGTAAAGGTTGAGCGAGGTTCAACAGTAACGTTTATACGCGACCTGCGCGTAAAATTTACGTCCGCAGGCACGTTAAAATTACGCAACAGTGGAAATCCACTTTGACTCACGAATCCGTGCGTTCTTGACCTACGCAAAAAACGGGCTGTTAAGCAATCTACTTCGCCTCGCACTGGCAGCTATATACAGCTATTTCGAGAAAAGTTATCGGAAAAAGTGCTCGCCACAATCCCGAAAGGTATTGGGCGTGGTTTTGTATTCACTGCTTTTCAAAGAAATTTGAAAGAATGTCACGAGAGGCCATGGACGTATATTTGCGAGTGCTAAAAGCAAGCAACAAAAGTAGTTTCGACAGCTTCAGTGTCAGAAACAGTGTGTTGATCATATCCCATATTATCTTTTGGGGTTGTCAAGTGCTTATTTTTTCCGTCAACGTTTCTCGAAATAGCTGTATACATGTAAGCTGTCACGTGGAGGAAACATGTTGCGCCCAACATTTCAGGAAGCGTTAGAACGTGAGTCGTCTGGGCCTTATTAACACAGAATACTTGCCTGATAATATATATTGTGTATGGTTATTAAGTGACAAGCCACCTCTTCCCTTCCCAGTAAGCTATTGATGTATGCTCTAGAATGATGCTTGCAAGTTGAACACCCACAGTCTCTGTCGATGGGCTTAAGATCCGTAACATACTGCTTATGTTTCAAGTGTAGTTGACCCCACGGTACTAATGCTGTGCCAAATCTCTGCAATGTGAGACAGATTTTGCAAAGTAATTTGCTTATCTTCTGTAAGGCCTGGTTTTCACAGATGAGGCAAGCACAAGTGCGGTAAAAACGGCCTGAACACAAGCATGACCACGCATACAAGGATAATCATAATTCATAATCACAAGGATCAAATTTTTCCTTTTATTTTACTCGCGTTCGGGTTCAATGTTGTGTGAAAACGGAACGCAGCATAAGTACAAGGCGATCTATTTAATATATGTTTGGCTAATCAAATCACCGTTTCCAGTTTCACGCGTGTAGGAACGCGTTTCCGCCATTTTAGCAGGAATCAGATTCAAGCTTCCATCGAATATTTAGTTCATAACAAGTACACTTTTTGCCCCAAACTAAGGGGAGGGGGTGGGCTTCAGAAAAAATAAATTAATTACTTTATACAAACAGCTAAGAAATAGGATTCGATAGGGTTTTAAGAATGAAAGTTTCAGTGACAAAAAGTCTAAACGGAACGGGTCACAAAAAGGGGAAACAAACTTATGTCTACCTCGCCGCGGTGCACTTAGCTATAGGTAATGAAAGTAAACGATAGTGTGTACATACATACATACACATACATACATTTTATTTTTTTGTGTTTTGACGTAAAAGTACAATAACATGCCCGCGGGTAGCTAAGCTAAGCTAGGCAGGTCATGTTTACAGGAAATAAATACAACTAAATACAGCTAAAAGGAACAAGAGAACTAAAGAAACTAAAATTGACAACAATGACTAGAGACTACTGATAAACTAATGGTATTACTAATAATAAATGACAACAGTTATGACAAGAGACTACTGATACACTAAACGATATCAATGATTACATATCAAGTACAATGGACTGTTAAATTTTGTGTTTTCAGTCGTCGATCCAAAATCATAGATGTCAAGGTGGTTACCTCTACGTGGCCAAAGATCATTCTCCCTTGACGGGACCTAGCCTGCTGACAGGCGTTTTTCTTTTTTCTTTTTTTTCAATAATTCGATAGCACACGAACGAAGCGAGCGCGCGAGGTAAAGACTTCTCTTTTCGCCAACACCACTCCCTTACAGTTACGGTCAATAATTTCCTCGCGGTTTTTATTTTCATACGTGCACTCGACGATCTTTAAAGAGAAAACCAGAAGGTCTGTGAACAGGCTTTATGGGGCCTTACAAAGTAGTTGCCGTCTACTGAGTTTAACAGCCCTGCATTGTCCTGTTACGACGTTGAGAGGGAGGAAGGAGAATGATGGGAAGGGGATGTTGAATTTTCGAATTGATCGGGGCATAAGTAAAAAGACAGTTTACGCAGTTGGCCGCTGTTATTTGTTCAAATATTAATATGCACCATTTTCCAGAGACTACTTACCGCCGTTCTAGTCGGATAAACACAGTCAAACATGTCCACTCCTAACGCACAACACACTACCAGATCCAATGCATAACTAGAAATAAATCAACAGAACGGCGTAGGTAACGGTGGATTTCCACTGTCGCATAATTTTCTCGTGCGTACTAAGTAAATTTTACGTGCGTGAATAAAATAGCGGTGATGTATGACAGGCTGCGCGTAAACGCAAAAGTTGAGCGAGGCTCAACTTATGCGTTTACGCGTGACCTTCCATACATTGCCTCTATTTCATTTACGCACGTTAAAATTTCTCAACAGTGGAAATCAACCTTAAGGGAAAAACCACTGGTATGATAGACGATATTACGATCTCAAAATAAATAGATAAATAAACAGAGCCAACTTTCCTCAATTGCAGCCAATGGCTGAATTGCGGAGAAACCAGAGAGGTGAGATCGGACGTCAGCATGTAAAGGCACACTTGACTATGCAGCCGCTTCAGTCCATGTTGGATCTCCCCCGCCCACCCAGATCAATGACGGCAAATGTCAGATACACCATGACACTGTGGCCTACCTCCCTTACTCTTTTCGAACAATTTCACGGGTTGTTTAGCATCCTCTTCCAACTGATGTGCGAGATGAGAATGAAGGCGACAAGGCTAACGACTTCACGTCACCGTCAAATGACGCGATCACCTGAACTGAGAAAGGGTTTTCATCACAGCTAGCATTATCTCACTAGTTTAAATTTTAAAGACATTGGTTGGTGGTCACACGAGAAGCGTCACCAGGCCCCAGTTGTTCAAACGTTGGATAGCGCTATCCAACGTTTGAACAACTGGGGCCAGAAGGCTACCTTTGTAACCCTGCTTTCCATTTTTCGCGCTAAAACAATAAAGAAACGTTGCGCTTCATCAGCCAAGGTTACAAGAGGCAACATTACCTAGGTCAGTGTAACTGCGTTGCATTGTGTAACCAGTTTTACCTCGACAAAAATTTACCTAGATAATTTTCATGTTTAAGTGACTATCAACAATAGGTGTGTTGAAGGGTCGTTTCATTCCCCCAGATAAACCTAAAAAGAAGAAGTTGAGATTGTAGAGGTAGCCATCGAGCAAGCCCTAGGGGTTAGGAGAGAAATCTCGTTTTCCCATTCCAGATGGAAAAAGTGTGGTGTGTAATCAGCTGGTAATACACCGCACAGTTTGCAAGCAGCGTAAAAAATGATGAAGATGGCTTTGTCGAGAGAAGGGTTGTTAGTACTGAATTTCACGTTTTACAACAGAACACACGAACAGTTTCACACGGTGTATCTATTGGAAAAAGCTTGGTCCCATAAATAACATCATACACGAAAAACTAATACACCAGTCAACTGAAACCCCGGCTCCACGACCCCAAAGACATGGTGGGTGATTCAACCTTGTTAAAACACGGCTAATTTCGGTCATATGACTTACCCTACCCCCATAAGATATCTTGGTTTGCTCTTTGGTAGCAGATCTGTACAAAGAGAAACGGTTTTCCAAAACAATGACTTCTCTTCTCCACCACTTAAGCCACCAATAGCTATACCGGGTGTGTTGCGTTTTACCATTTCTGGTGAGTAAAATAATACAATCTTTATTGAATACACGTAAGTCATACCAGGAGCCTATATTCTGGAGCCTCCATCTCCCACTTATGAGGACTGCAGCGTATTTACACTTTGGGTTATATTTAGACTAAGGTTTGCCGCGAAAAAAAAAATTTTTCTGTCGCGTCCGCATATTTGCACCTTTGGTGAAAATTAAAAGATGGCGGGAAGTGCCTAGTTCTTGAAATACTCAAAAGCTTAAATTTAGCGGGGATAAGCAAATGGTAACGGAAAATTTTCCACTTTCTGCGAGAAGTGCAATAGCTCTTCCACATATCTATTTTCAGTGGCCTAAATAAGCAGTAGCTTATTTTGCTTTTAGGGCTAGAGGTATTGTTTGTTTTGAATCATCTATTGTTTTGTTTTTCAAGCACAGACCATGTCTGGAGAGCTACTGATCTTCTTTTCTGCATCCTATTCTCACGCCAACCGCCCCTTTCTATGTGGACTCTTTCCCTTTTCTTCGTTTTTCTCGTCACTTTCAGGTTATTACGCTTTAAATTTCACGTTTATCACACAGCGGATTAGAGCTAATAGTGGACAGCGACTATCAATGAGTTTTTCCTTTCACTAAGATTACTTTCTTTACGTACCCAAGATAAACACTATCATACACTGCAATTTATTGTTATTGGAACAAATTGCTATCGATTTTGAAGAAATTTTAAGCGTGTGTTCTGATCTACCAGTCGAGAACCACTTAAATATGCCTGCCAGTAGAGAGGAGACTGGTGTGACGTCAGGTTACCACGGTAATAAAATTTATGGATCACAACAATAGAGATTAGGGAGCTTTAGCATCGACGACGGCAACTGCAGCGAAAACGTCAGTTTTAAAATGAATTCCCGTTTTTTCAATCTTTGTCGCGTTTATTCCAATTTGCTGAAAGTGGCAAGTGTAGGCGAATTTCCCTGGAGTTGATTTCTTGAGGACCGCACTCAAGTTTAGAGAGGGAAAAAGAGATTCGTCGTCGCTTGTTTTCGTCCTCCATAAAACCTGCAACTAGGCATTTTCACGTCGTAGTCGTGCAAGGACGGTAAAGAAATGAACAAAAAAGCGTGATGCACGTGCAGAGTTGTTGTTTTGCTCAACAAACCTATTGCTTTTTTGACGTCCTCTTTGCCGTCGCCGTCATCGTTGCTAAAGCTCCCTATTAAGCAACGACGACGGCGACGGCAACGAGAACGGGAAAAAAACAAAAGGTTTAGATTAGCAAAATAACAACTTTGCACGTGCAGCACGTTTTTTTTTTACATTTCTTAGCCGTCGTTGCACGACCGCTTCATGAAACTTCGTAGTTTCATGCCCCCGCTTTGTAAAGTAGGTGAAGACAACACAAAAAGTTTCTCTTTTCTTTTTCAAAACTTAGATACGGTCCTTTTCGAATTCAACCCCAGAAAATTTCGCCTACAGTTGACAAATTAAATGAAACTGAATAAGATTGATGAAGTTTGAAACAGTGCGAATTCACCTTTTCGGTTTATTTCATCCAGAAATTTTGATACCATGGCAATGTGACCTAACGACCTCTCCTCTCTATTTTTTGACTCATTTCCTGAAAGTGCCTTGGGCCTGTTTACATGGAGGTGGGGGACCCCAGGTAGGTGACGTAATCCGCCTTTCCATATAATGTCTCATTTTAATTTGATCACGTTTGTATGATAGGTGAGGTAAACATTTGAGAGTTTATATGGACAGGTAGGTTGCCCCACCTAAGCAGGTTGCCTCACCTACCTGGGGTCGCCCACCTCCATGAAAACAGGACCTTAGAGGACCCAGTCATATCTGGTTGCTTCAATGGCTGGCTTCTGAAGGCCTTCCGAAGTTTCCCGGAGTTCTCAAGAAAGTGATTATGCCCCACACAGGAGTCTCTAACTATCAGAGATTTGGGGAAAATATGATCATTCACTTCAACAATCTTTTCTGTTACAGGTTCACATTAATTTCATTTTACATATTTCCCAAAAATAAGTCACTTACGCCTGTGATAGTACAACTTTTATGCCAGGTGTGAGAAGGTGGTCAAAAGGCATGAGTGAAAGTGAGTGAAGGTTATCAATCCGCAAGCATGGGACACATGCCTATTAAAAGGTCTGAAATTTGGCAGGTGTAAAGACTTTTATCCAAAAGATTTCCTTGTCAGTTTCAGAATATGAATGAATGGTTTTTCTTTCCAATATTCTCGAAAAGCAGTTGTCATCCATGGAGTTGTATTTTTGTGTATTCTTGGTATCTTTTTTAGTCGTGATGTGAATAGGGGATAATTTGCAATATACATGTACAATCACTGATGTCAGTGATCGTATAACTTAAGCATCTTCCAAATTTGGTCAGTGATAGCTAATTACGAAGAATTAGTAGTGGGATTGGAGCCAATCATAAATGCAGAAATGCTTTGAAATAATAATAATAATAATAATAATAATAATAATAATAATAATAATAATAATAATAATAATGAGAGATAATAGTTACTGTAGAACGAGACAAGCTTTACTGTTACCGTCTACACAAGTCCTCCTCAATTCAGGATCCAGTCCTCCCTGAATGATTGCAAACAGATTCTGTTCAGTTGGTCTTGCATGTGCTGCAACACATCTGTCCAGCCACCTTATAGAACGCTTCATAGCCTCCTCTACTCTGGGACCTTTTATAATGATTAATCAGTATGTTGTCAGCAATTTACTTTGAGCCAGTTAGCCCAGCAATATATCCAGCTAGTGGACAGCTTAAGGTCTCGGGGACTCTAGTTTGTAAGTCCTGTGCTCTAAATGTTTGGATACACTTATCACTAACTGTATCTACTAACCTTAAGTGATTAAGACGCAATTTTATGTTTCTACGTTTACACAGGGTTCGTACAGATTTTTGGATCCAGAATTCAAGCCTTTTTCCAGACACTAATAAAGCACATGTTGTAGCTTTGCAAAAAGAAAAACTCAAGACTTTCTACCATTTTTCCAGACTATCTCTCTTTTTTTCCAGACTTTTTCCAGGTCTGGAAAATTGCTGGGCAAATTTCAGGACTTTCAAGAATTCAAGACTCTGTATGAACCTTGTTACATAAGGGTGTTAATAAGTTTGTGATGTAACTGTCATTATCAAACAGAATTTTTTGCATTTAATAATAAAATTAATATTCTTAGCATGTCACCTGTAGTAGTACTGCTGACCACATCATCCAGTTGCATAATTATATCAGCTCCAATAGAATTCTGGATCTCAGTTGATTTTTCAGGTGTGAGTAACATTTCGCTTCCATCATGAGGTGATTGGAACTTGACACCTTCCTCAGTAATTTCAGCTAATTTTAAGAGTGATACCATCTGAAATCCACCACTGTCCTGCATGTTACAAAATTAATAATAACAGGAATTTAAGTCTGTTAATATTGGCAACCTAAATAAAATATTATAATGTGCACTTTGGCTCCACCATTAACTCACATGGTAAAGCAATGAAAGGAACCAACAATCTCAGGCTGAGATGAAAATCAAATAAACCAGGACCTTCAGGCAAACTGTTCCCAATTTATGGTGTCCCTCAGGGTTCAGATCTTGGCCCCCTTTAGTTCCTTCTATAATTAAATAAATGATTTTAGTAACTGCTCTACTGTATTTGATTTTCACCTTTTCCCTGACGATTCAAATTAATTAGAAACAGTGAATCAAGAATTAAAAAATTTCCATAATTGCCAGATTGTCTTTAAATATTGACAAAACAAATTTCGTTGTCTTCCATCCGTTTCCGAAAAAATTGACTAAAACCATTCTTTTAAGAATAAACCATAACTTTATTTAACAAAAAGATCATATCAAATACCGACAGCTGTAGGAGTAGTCATAGTAGTCATAGTTTTTTTTTCACATTCACCAGCTCTACGCAGGGAAATCTCCAGAGGCATTGGGATCTTAGCCAAACTGCACCAGTATGTTTCTGTTACTATTTTAAAACAGCTTTAAATGCCTTACTCTATCTTCGCAAGTTTAAACAGTCCTTGAAAAAGGCTATTTTCAGTTCATATTATGTTCTTTCTTTCGAATATTAATTTTTCTCCAGTTCCTCGATTTTTCGGTGATTCAAGTCTGTACGTGTGTTTTTTTCTTTTCTTTTGTTTGTTTGTTTTTTACATTGTTTATACTTTCGCCTACACAAAACAATATTTTGAATTAATGTATAATGCCTCCTAGCTAGATTAGCTTTTTAGCTATTTTCTAGGTAGCTTTTACCTTACATAAGTAATATTGTCCTTTTTAATGTCTTTTTTTTTTCTGTGTGTGGTATAAATAAAGTTCTTGTCTTGTCTTGTTCCTAAAGTTTGCTGGCCCAGAGTAGTCACACAGGCCAACTAATCCCCTTTTTCACCACTATTTACATTATCTGGGCAGATAATGCCCTGCCCATCATAAACTGTTGGGCTTGTATGTTTCCCTATTAGTTTTCTTGTGTACTTACTTATCAATAAGAAAACTAATAGGGAAACATACAAGCCCAACAGTTTGCTCAGATAGCTTTGGGCTATTGGAGAGCACTTGTGTTGCTTCCTGAACCATTATTTTATGGACACCTTCTTGAAAATACACCTAGAGCTCACCTTTAGGTATCATTTTCTTGACCTCTGCAATACCAGCTGAGCTAACAATCCAACTGTGAGTTGGTCATTTAGTTGGTTTTTTATAAGCCCAGGAGAGGATAATGATGAAATAATGAATAAAATTATATAAAATCATGTAATTAGAACTGTGTGATGAAGAATTATAGTAAAGAAGATCAGTGCAGTTACAGATGCAACTTTTGCAGTCATGAAATAAATTAACAAAGCCTGAAAATTCAGGCTTTGCCATTAATTGAAAATATTGTTTTGCTATTGAAATACATTAGCAGCCCTTACAGTTAAGAGAGCTCTTTTCCAGTTCATAAAGCCATGGAGTCCTCCAGCTTTCTCTAATATCTTGGTACCCTGATAAAATAGAATAACACCAAAACACGTTAATAAGGGGAAATAAACATAAGATTAAACCTACACACAATCATTATTGGGTGTTTCATGTCCCACAATACAGTTGTACCAAGGAGATAATTTTAATTTAGGACCTCAACTTAAGGGATGGGGTGGAAAGGGAGAGGTCTTTTCCACCACGACCCCCTTACAGTTTGTTTTTGAAATAAAGCAAGCTTGGCTTTATTTGTGGCTTTCTTTTCTTCCTGGTCTTTTCACTTCATGTGAGAAAATAGAAACAAAAACGGCTGCATATGAGACTGCGGAGGAAGCTTAATGTGCACAAGTTTGCAATGACAACATTCTCGACCAGAATGAATAGCAATTTACATAAACCAACCTGTAAGTGTACGCAAACTTGTCAGAAGTCTGACCAACCACATTGTTTGATAATTTGCAGGTCATTTTGTGTTTGAGTCGTGAGCAGGATTCGATAAGTTTACCAACCAATAAACATTTCCATCCTAGGCTATCAAGGTGAAGGAAGTCTGGGGTGGGTATTCAATCATAATGCATTACGTCTTCCTACGCAGCCATTTTTGTGTCCATCTTCATGCAACTAGACGACACACACACAAGAAAAGCTGCATAACTGAATACTTCCTCCCTACCTCCCCTCACGTCCCCTTTAAATAGTTTCTCCTTCCAGACTAAACCGAACCCATTGTATGGCATTCAGAAAAAAGTTGAGCAAGTGTATAAGACAGGGCTGTCAATCCCCAACGTCATCAAATGTTGAGAATTGATAGGGAAGAAATAATGGATCACATCATATCACACAACAGATGAGTATGATGTCATTTGTGTGAAAAATGCTCGTTGATTCCAATCGACGTACTTAGCACATAAACCGTTCATATTTGGCCACATCATTGCTTAAATTACAGTGGCATACCAAATTCAGGGACAAACCTTCCCGTTGTAGCTCAAACAACGCAAAATATTTGAAATTTTATGGTAGGATAGTCGAGTCTATACAAGAAATAGCAATTTTGGCCATTATCCATGAGATATCAGACTCTAATCTGGAGACCAGGAGATACGGTCCAAAATCTGGAGTCCCCCGGATTATTCGGGAGAGTTGACAGCACTGTAAGATGAGGAGCCTTTAATCCTGATAAAATAAATTGACAAGTTTGGTCCTTTTCAGGTTCCTAAAATTCGTTTAGAACTCTTGTAAAAATTCTATGGACCGGGTGCGTCGGTCCACTAAGAGGTCCATGGACCACCTCTGTGGACTTAGTCTTAGGGGGTCCATGTTTTTTATACGTTACTGAAAAATAGAGCAAGCTTTAGGACAAAATTACCGGTCTCATTCCCAGATGATAAGTGTTGCCAAGAATAATCTGACAGTCTAAATCTGTAAGCTGCTTCGTTGTTAATCCCTTCATAGTACCTTGTGTTCCTACTGGCATAAATACAGGAGTTTCTACTTCATAATGCGGTAAAGTTAGGATGGCAGTTCGAGCTTTGCTGGTGGAGCATTCCGCCAAAATGTTGTAACTCAAGGCGCATTGTACTTCCCCTGGTACCTCCACATTGTCCGCCATCTTGGATTTCACCGCTGACCAGTTAAACTGACGGCCCAAAGAAGCATCCCAACGTGAGTCAGAGTGGTGTGGGGAGGGTAGGAGGGTACAGTTTTTTTTCAGGAAGGTGATCGTGTGTGTGTAGAATAAATTCCCTTGTAATTTATCTTAAACCTTCTTTGGAAAATTGATTTATTTGATTAAAGAGTAAAAGAATGATTGTTCCCACACTTTAAGGGAGGAAAAGTTTTTCACCATATTTCTTCCTCCCCTCCCTGCTACTCCCTGTACGTTTTTCTGAAAATGTAATGTGGTCCAAGGTCAGCGGTAGACCATCATAAATTTCAATATGGCGGAAAAGTCAGACGAGGACTTGGGAAACGAGGATGTTTCTTCGACAAATAGTGGACGAATAACATTTAATCAAGTTAAATTCGTCGGTATTGAGTATCCAGGATACATCAAAGATGAAAACCAGATGCTCGAAACACTAGGAGGGGAAGAAACTGTGGCAAAAACTTACTCCAGCCCTGGGAGGAGATTAGAACTGTCTTTTCGTCCGGACGATCCATACTGCCATGCGGTATGCGGTGATCGATACTCTACTCCAAACCTTTTGCTCAGAGTAAAACAACGAAAAAAGAAGAGTAGAGATGGGAGTAGCGAGCCGACGGTAGTAAAATATGAACAGGAGATACTCGGGATAGTGGCGAACACATTCAAGTAAGATATTGTAGCTGGTGCAATGTTCAAGCTTTACTATCTGGGCTTTAATATTAGGTTATTTCATGATGCGTTACCAATACAGTGAAATAAGGGTTTTACTGAAGAGCTTTGTCAAACGTAAGGTGCATTTATAATGCAGTGATACCACTGTGCCAACTCAGTTGATCAAATGAAATTTGACTTTAGCACGACAGCAGCATAGAATCGTACAGAAAATCGGAAAACCGATTTGCATGACGGTGCTCTGCTTGCACTTACTTCAGTAGTCATACTACTGCCGTGTATTATAGTGATNGTAAGGTGCATTTATAATGCAGTGATACCACTGTGCCAACTCAGTTGATCAAATGAAATTTGACTTTAGCACGACAGCAGCATAGAATCGTACAGAAAATCGGAAAACCGATTTGCATGACGGTGCTCTGCTTGCACTTACTTCAGTAGTCATACTACTGCCGTGTATTATAGTGATAGCTCTTCTCCTCAGGTCACAGCTCATGTATCACAAGTAACAGGTCCAGCGCTCTCAACCCCTCATGTCTTCAAATGTCGAGAATTGATAGGGAAGTAAGGGAAGGGATAATAGATGACATCATACCGCACGGCACATGACGTCATTTGAGCAAAAAATACTGTTGACTCCAATCGCTACAAATATGTGATGGCACAAAACACATGAAAAAGATGTTGTTTGCATAGTAACATTTTGCCTGATTGCTTAACTTCCCACCAATCACTTTATCATTAAGTTACAATGGCATACCAGAGTTTTTGAGGATGTTAACATTACAATAGCTCAAACAATGCAATAGATGAAATTTTTAATATTATCGGAAAGTCGAGTCTACTGAAATGAAGAAATGGCAAACTTCAGCAATTATCTGGGGGATTTCATACTCTAACCTGGAGACCGGGAGATACAGCCCAAGATTTGGAGTCTCCCAGATTATGATGGCACTGCAGGTCACAGGTGCTCGCAGAGTGTGTTGAACTTCAAATATTGTGTGTAGTTAGGTATCTTCTTGTGTCAATTCTTGTAGGGTTAAAATAAAGAAAGCCCTGAAGGCTGTGTTGAATATAGACAATAGAAACCATTTTAATTAGGTCTCTGTATTTTCAGGTTTGAAGTATTGGCAGATTTTCAGTATCTTGTTCCTGACATGCCTGAGTTTCTAAAGGAAGTTAAAGATGCCGATGCTTTGGATCAAGATATTCCCCTTCATCTTCCTCCTCCAGTGTTTGCGCGATTTGACAAACCACAAAATTATAATTACCAATCTGTTCCACACAGCAATAAACAAGAAAATAACACAGATGAGGAAAGGTGCAGGCATCCTCTGCATGAGATTATTATTTTTTATAGTTACTGTGAAACTCAAAGGGTTTTGTTTATCATTTGTCTCTGATTTTCATTTAGGTATTGATTGTAATGTTTTAACTGCGCACTGCAGGTCTTCATCAGGCGAAAGCGTCAATTTGGCTATTAATATCTTAGTGAGGATCATGAAATAAATGATCAACAAAACTATTTTTACTCATTAACCACAATGAAAAATATCTTTCATGATGGTGACCAGAAATATTTATGGAATGTCAGTGTCTCCCCCTTGAGGAAAAAGCCAATGATACAAAACTTAACAGTAAACTCCAACTGTAATTAGTTTATGGTCTATGTTCTGCTCTTCATTGTGATTGGTCATCTCTTCAACATTCCTGAATTGTATCAGGTTTTCTGAGTTTGACTCACTATAATATTTCTCTGTTAAGATTTTTCAGTAACCCATGTTTAGTTAAGCTAAACATGAAATAGTATTATTAAATTTAGACTATTAAAATCACAGGATGAGTTACAAATTAGAAAATCAGCTTTCCTGATTGAGGTGAAAAGTCCCTTTAGTTAACCAGACCCAAGAAATGAAAAGCTAAGCATGACATTTGACAAATACATTTAAACCCTTCTCAACAGACATCTTATTAAGATGAGCATCTTCCTTAAAATTGGTGCAGATAGGTTTTTTATTAACTCATTCCTTTGACTTTCAATAGAAACTCTTTAGAACTTTAGAGTTCGTGTGATAGACAATGTGATGAGCTAGTTTTAAAAATATTTTTCATTTGTTTATTATTGTTCTTTTAACTCAGATCTACTAGAAAACTTTGCATACATGTATGCTTTTCTTTCTTTATCCTTTATTCACTTTCTTGCTTGCTTCCTTTCCTAAATTTATTTTTAAGAGCAGAGATATCATAAAAATTGCCAAGAAATTCCTGCAATTTGCTCTTCAGTGATAGTACTAAAATTTGTATATCCAACCGTTTTCAGTTCAACTGGAACAAGCACTAGAATGAGACGACCAGCTAATGCCATGGCTGTCAACTTTAGTATGGCTGAGGTCCCTTCATCACCAAATCCCAAAGCTGTGGAAATAGCAACTAAAACAAAAGATGTTCATTTGGAGACAATAAAAAAACTGTTTACCACAAGACCTATCTGGTCAAAAACTGCGCTACTATGTCACATGAATGGTGTATCAAATGAAAGGCTTAAAAATTTACTGGCATATGTTGCATTTTACTGGATCAATGGACCATGGAGAACATTATGGAACAGGTTGGGCTATGATCCTCGGAAAGATCCTAGTGCAAAAATGTAAGTTGTAAATTTTTTTACTTGATGACTGCTTCACTGGTGATGTAAGGAGGTGAGGTGCCCGGAAGAGTGTAGCTTGTGAACAAGCTCTCTGGGGTGCTCTGTTGATGGGGCAGGAAAAGAAAGGAGAGCTTTCAACTATGTGTCTGGATTTTGAATATCTGCATTGAAAAAGTCGATGCAAAATGCTGATTGGCGGAGATGACAGTAATGATGTCATTACTCTTGGTACATGTTTTTCAATATTTGTTTACATTCGTGTGCTGATTTGCGGATATTTAACAGCACAGTCGATGGGTAGCCAAAGGGGAATTGGAGGTGAAATTCAAATTCCAGAGACTTAGTTGCAAGCGTCTTTCCTCCGCAGAGGCTCCCGCTGGGTATTCCTAAAAAGGTAGCAATAATCAAAAAAATAGAAAGCGTGCAGGGACGATGGGAAGAAGGAAAAGGTGCCCTGCGCACTCTCTTTTTCTTTCTCCCCAGCCTCCCCACAACACAAGAGGCCTCTGCGGAGGAGAGAGGTTTTAAGCTCTCCTTCCTTTTCCTGCCCTACTGCCAGAGTACCCCAGAGAGCTTGCCGCAGGCTAGGGGGAGCGGGGGGACTCCATATAATGACCTGTAGGTCGAAGCTCTGCTTGAAAGGGGTCAGGCTTCATGTACATCAAAGGTAGGGAATTCAGGAGTTGAAGGATATGATAGGGTAGAAAATATATCATTTGAGTATTTAAAAGGGTCTTTTATTAAAAATTTCGAAAAGATGCACCTTATGGTTATATCATTTTCATTTATTAAACGTTATTTTACGCTACACAAATTTTATTAAAAATAGCACAAAAAGACAAGAAGACTGCCTGTTTTAGTGGTTTATTCTTTTGAAGAGGGTTACCATTTTTCAGTAGACTGTGTTTAAAAGGGATTCCTTTTTTCCTTAATAATGGTATAATAAAGGGTTAGGTGCAACTAGCAATTAAGAGCCTGGAACAGGCTAATCCGCATTATGCTTGAATCTTAAGAACTGTTTCAACATTAAACAGATATCAGATGTTAGATTACCGTATTGGAAGCAGAAAAGAGACTAGAGACCTTCCAATAAAAGCCAAGAGAGATTCAAGTGTTTACATTCTACCAAACTTAATAAAGAAAGGAGGCACTTCTAAAACATTAGTAAAAGAAGTTGTGAGGATCAGCAGTGATGATAAAGCAAGTGAAGAGCAAACTCAAGAGCAAGAATATCCATATGTGTTCACCCCCGATAAAATGCCCAAACAAAAACAGTTGTTTTATCAACTGTGCGATCTACATGATCCAGAGATTCAGGGACTTATCAGCAGAAATGACGGACAGGTCAGTATTTTTTCTTTAAGTTTTATTTTTTACACAGTCGAACTCTTCTGAAGGCGTAAAATTAACGCCTCATGAAATGAACACGAATTTTTTATGTTCGCGTTAATTCAGCTGTTAATTTAAGTCGCATCAATTTTTATAAACGGTAATTTCCGCGCTGTTAATTAATTATTATTTCATAGTTTCATTACTGTTATTTGCGTTCCTTAGTAAAAGAATTGGGGCGCCTTGTAACTCGGCAGACTATCCTGGTTTTATATATTTTTTTTAGCCATTTAAATTTAGACGCGTGTGCGGGGTTTGCTCTGGCGAATTGTGATTGGCTAGGAAGAACAATTGCCTTCTATCAAGTATTTTCTCAGCAGGGTAGGGTGGCTTTGGGCTAATGATGTATCGGTCCCCAGAAAGGTCACCTCAGGACTCCCGGGATGGATTTTTTTTGTACAGTGCCCAGGCCTCATTTTCCTGGCCGCACGTTGATCTGGCCAGGCTGCTTCGGCGAGCATATTCTCGGTCTGTTTGGATTATGTCCTTCGAGTTTGTCAAAGTCTGTGGGATTCGTTTCTCTATCCGGGAAAGCTTCATTGGTTTCTATATCTGCTGCTATCCTATTTCTACGATCCTGGCATGTTTATTTTCCGTTGGAGTTGGAATTTCGAGGAAAAAGTTGTCTTGAATGAGAGCATGTTGGCGAAAATGGCATCTCGTGTCTCCTACCTTGTATATTATTATTGTATACGGAGTGAATTTGAACAAATTACTGCAAATTATCACGAAACTTCGTTGGAGCAATAAGTACAACAACAATTAACTGTAGAGTAAGTTTCATTGATCTTTAATTATTTAGTATTTCCTAGAAATTATAGGGTCGTATTTTTACCCAATACAAACACTTTAATTTTACTGGAACCGTACTGTGGTACTATCACAGAGCCTGGGTTACCTGTGGAGAGGGCACAAAAAGTGGAGTACCCGGGGTAAAACCTCAAATTCAATCCGCATACGGTGGGAGGAGAATGCGCTACCCTCACCTACCCCACCCCCAATTCGCCACTCCAGACACGATAAGGGGAATGGATACAAGCTTTCGGCGCAACAATGTCTGGGATTGTTTGGGTGGACAAGCGTTAGTTATGATTGGTCGATGGTATTCAAGGCAACAATTAACCAATCATAAGTAACGCTTGTCCACCCAAACGATGCCAGAAATCATTGCGTCAAAAGCTTGTATTCCCCTTAGAGTTTTCTGGAGTGGGGAATTAAAGTAAGACAACCTTCTGATACCAGTGCATTTTGGTTTTACTTTATTGTATTAGGAAGACGAGCTCCTTGATCGTGATGGATGGTGTTTACCAGGAACCGCTAATGAGATTCGAGAGATTCTTCATCGACGGACTGCTGATTTGGCCGAGAGGTTCAAACAACAACAGTCAGGGGTGGGGGAGGAGGTGGAACAGACTACATCTCAATTACAACTCACAGGGGAGGAGTGGACTGGTCACGAGGGAGTGAAAAACTTCTTGGAATTGCTGGAAAAGGACGATGACATTGAAGCGTACGATATTTTTGACGACGTAACAGAAGGCGACGAGTAATCGTAAGGTGTATTTGCTTCAGAGAATTGTACGCTAATGGTGTTGTCAATCTTTCTTCGCCTATTTTGAAACGAGTTCACTCGATTATTTTCTAACGAAAGAGAGGTGAACATCCTTGAACAGCGTATGACTTGCTTAGCAGATTCCAAAAGAGGTTTGGGGTTTGGGGGGAGGGGGGGGGATCTCATATTTAAGAGAAGGTGATGCTCGTAGGAAATTGGGAATAAACCAAAGCTCGAAAAAAGCTTCGTCCGGTAGTGCGAGACAAGTAGATTTCTTGCTGTGCAAGTGACCTTTTTAAACTTACTTGCACAATGGCTAGGGGTCCAGACGCAAGTCATCCACCAACAAAGTCATAAACTGATTAAAGACGAGCAAGAAGTGGTCCCGGGCCAGAGAAATGTGAGAGCTGTTTGCCCAAAGGAGGAGGAGGAGTCCAATTTTTCTTTCGAGCCCTGTAAACCCTAACGGAAACCAATTGCTGGGTGTGGCCTAGGCTTTCTTTAGACCCTTAAAGTAGATCATACTCCAGCTCCACAGTAAGACGGCGTTGTTTCTTAGTTTTATACAGATATTTCCTTACGCACTACCCAAAGCGATGTCTTTTATGAGTAAATATATTGGCTTCTCGCCCGGAATACAGTAAAAACCCACGAGTAAGAACCTAAGATTAAGAACTTGTTAGGCTAAAATATGCAGTTTAGACCCCCTCTATATAAGAACCTCTTCAGCCTAGAATTTGGAGAAAGGTTCTTATTTTCAAAAATCATTTAAAAATATTTACTAATTGCAATTGCAAAAGGCAAGTTAGTACATATATAAACGTTGTTTGATTGAGATCATTGAGAAAATGTTTATAATATTGTGTTTTACAGCACAATCATGTACATTAAGTTGTTTTGACTCAAGAAATTAAAATTCATGTGAGAATAGATCTCTATTATGGTCATATTAAAATATAAACAATCATTAGGTATGCAAATTTAAGGGTGCTGATCACTAATAAAAATTTTCTTAGCAACGACATAATTTTTTGCAAGAAATTAAGAACCTATTAAGAACCTAGATACCCTAAATTTATGTTAACCACCATTTATGTAAGAACCTGTTTAGGCTAACCGTGGAAAATGTAGGTTCTTACTCGTGGGTTTTTACTGTACCCTAAGTAAGACCAAAAAAATGCAATTTCTACCCCAAAGCGAGACGCGACGAGCATTCCCGTCACTTTCATATGGGAGTCCCCCCCAGGATCCATCAGACAATGCTTGTTAAAACTTTGACCACGTGAGTAAATGTTATTCTGTTACGAACCAGAAATGACTCTGAACAGCGAAGACATGTATGACTACAAGACAAGGCGCTAAGTTGTAACTAGACCGAGCTCGAAACCAGTGTTCACTCGGAGGGAGTCGTGCAAACTAGCAACTACACTCTGTATTGCTACTGTATAAACATGGCGTACCAAGTTTTCGGCAGTAATGACACTTCCATTCACGTCAAGTTTGGGCGTAAATTGTCATGTTCACTGGAGGAGTCTGCTAATAAAGGTTGTCACATAATTAAATATTACTTGTGGTCCATGGACGGGGTTTGAAAGTGATGCATTTTACCCAACCGTATTTACCTTTCACTTGGCACCGCGAAATCCTTGAGAATAGAGTGTGAGGTGAGCGCCTTTTGACTTTCCTTGCTTGAAATTTATTTGTATTCCAGGAAATCTCATTCCACGAAAAACGATGCCAGAAGCTTTGTTAGGATTATTGTTAATTCTTGCCACTCAGGTGCAGCTCTGGTTTTCCTGTTGAGCTTATTGAAAGTTTGAGGGCCATGAGTTTATCAGCACAAACTGGTCATTGTAACCCTCGTTAAATAACGTTTATGTATTTTTTCATTTTTATTCACTAAAAATTTTAGTGCTTTTGTGTGTTAAGTCTGTGTCGTGTTTTTGAAGGGAACTCTTGCAGTCAGTTAAAAACTTGACACGAACTACAACGAAAAGAAAACCGCACAAAACATTTTACCCAAGGCATTAGCATGTAGTCGTAGATTGCATAATACAGGTGTCACCTGTAAGAAAAATGATGACAAGATTCTCTGCCTGAAACATCCTGTTCCGTATTAGAACTGAGAAACAAAATGGTTTCGTCAAGGTCATCAAAAGCTAGAGTTATTCAATGTAGAAACAAATTCATCCTGTTGACCATATTTCGTGTAAATTCAGGGAAGAAAAAGCATTTTTTAGTTGTCGTTTTGCCAATTGTTTAACTTCGCGTCACTGCGACTGTTCAGTCAATGAAAATATACTGTTCTACGTCACAAAGTGTGAGTGTCTCCCCAAAATGTTTATCTTCATTATTATTCAGGGAAGTTTTATATCGAAAAAGTAATAATAATTCTAGTGCGGCAAAGATCGTTAGATAAAATAAATTGTCTCATTTTTGTCTTGTGCTATATTGATGAAATTTGATCTTCGCTTTCCGTATGAGTCACAAAGTGGTATAAAACTTCGGAAGCTTATGAATTTGAATACAATACCTAAGATAATGTTCACACCAAAGGCGAGCGATCGTAGCTAATAATCTTAACGTAAACGGACGGCCGTATTTTTGTTTTATTATTCTATTATGAAAACGTGATATCTCGCCTATTAAGGCGGTTAAGTTCGTCAAAGGAACTCTTACATCCGTGAATAGGTCTATTTAAGAGTGAACGATTCTAAACAACCGGCGGAACAATCATCTTCGTGGCCAAAGCAAGGAGGTAGATTGCTTTTTGCATCCGGCCTTCTGTTTCAAATGAGAAAGCTTTAGTGTGAATGAAAGCGTAAAACTACCACCCTTCGCTGAAGGTCGGTTGAGTATTTTGGAAACATTGGCAGGCAACTTGATCATAAGTCTTAAAATTCGTTGTTAATGTGGTGTGCAAGCAGGGTAAGTCTAGTTGCTTCCTTGTTTTTTTTCTATGTTTTATTTAATCCCAAGCCAGTTTGTAAGATTGCATGAGTGGCGTTCCCAAAGCATCTATTGTGTATGAATTTTATGCCCGCGATGAGAATCAGCGGATCGCTGCGTTTCTTGTTTGATTTAGTGTCGGCACGACATCGTATTCTCGAGTTTTTAAGCTGAAATTACGTGTTTGTTATTGAAGGTTCTGCGTCGCAAATTCTAAATGAATTTTAAATAATTATATGCTTTTGTGTCTCAAATTTTTTAAACAATTTGAAAGACGCGCTTCTGACAGATGCAGTAACATAACGAAGGGAGTAAACTTGAAAGCAAGTCTCCTAATTCTTTGAAGAAACTTACAATACTTAACATTTTAAAGGTGATTGGTGGCCCTGAATTTTCCTGATACATTTTTCCCTCTCGCAATAACACGCGCTGCGGAGACATGTCTTCAGTTTTTGCGTTTAAAACCTGAACGATAATCGGCTTAGTGGCTTTCCATGTTGAATTTGTTGCCTCATAAAGTCAAGAAAAAAAAAGTTTTAAGCATCACCTCTGATTTTTTGTAAACGAAAACGTATATTAAAACAAAGGTTTTTTCCTAATGCACAGCTAGCTAGAAGTAAGGTGTTCTAATATATTGGTGTAATTGAGAAGTTGTTTTTGTTTTTCACCTGTTCGAGTTGTATTTTAATCGAAGTTGAAAGATCAACAAATTCTACAGGAACTAATTTTGTTGAGGCGCATTGATTTTCAAAAGCGATAAGAAAAAGTATTAGCATATGATTTCAGTCCTACTAGGTTTATAGCGAAATAGAAATTAAAACAACATACCTTTAAATCCTTTGCAACGATTCAGTGCTAAATTCTTTTCCCAGTGGCATGATGAGAGAATTTTTTGTGTTAAAACTTTCTTTTTTAAAGTGACAACGTGACGTGATGACAAAACCTGGCGGTTTTCTTCACAATCATGTGATTGACAGGCTCCAAGAAAAGAAGTGTATCCACAGACTTGGTCTTAACCTTGGGAAACGAAGAAATATTTCGTGTGCAAAACAGTATGGAAGTCTAAAACATCAAAACCAAGATCAAAGTCAAAGAAAGGGGCTGTTCTCTAGAAAGTCTTAAGATGGCCCTTTTGTGAATATTCTAAAACATTTGTGTTTTTTATAGTCATGATTTTTGATAATCGTTTTAATATTTTTATTGTACTCCAGCATAGCTATAGGTCTAACGTGCAAAAAACTAAAAACCAAGTGAATGAATTTCGACCCTCAGACCAAATTATCGTGACGTCCCGAATTTACAGCGGAAACTGCGGCTCTGAAATATTCACGAACGATTTCCAAAAGAACGTGCTTATGAACCCTTGAAATTAAAAACATGGTTAGACCTTTAAGTGTCGGACTCCTCAGAAAAAGAACATTAGTCCAGACGCTCGTGACCCTTAGCATGTAGACCAAAATTCCTCCGGTGGGGTAGGGGGACATCCATATGAAAGTGACGTAGATGCTTGCCATCTTGCTTAGGGGCAGATGATGGTGTCAAGCCGACATTAAAGAACTTAAGCTACAACGACGGCGAAAACGTCACTCAAAATGGGAATTTGAGCTTCTTCAAACATACAATTCGTCAAATGTTGCCAATTTTTTTCTGGAGTTGAATTCTAAAAGACTATATGGAAGTTCGGGAAAAGAAAAGTAAAGTCGTTGTCTTGTGTTCACGTTTTACAGAAAACGTGAAATTAGGCATTTCTACGTCGTGGTAGTGCAGTGACGAAAGAAAGAAATCCGAAGAAATGTACAAGAAAGGGTGATGCACGTGCAAAATTGTTTTTTTTTTGCTAATTTATACCCAGTGCCTTTTTGCGATTCTTAGTTGACGTCGCCGTCTTCGTTGCCCAGTTTTACCCTTGAAGGTATCGCTTGAGGTTATGCGTGAACTGAAGAAATATCTATAAAAAGATACTGTACAACCATACTGTGCTGGAGCATGTGCAACGCCCAAATTGGTCTCCTTTAAGGGATTTAATTGCAGGGCTCTAGCCTGGGAAAACAGGTGATGACGTGTCAGTATCCAGATTGATTTCCCTCGCGGCACGATCTCGTTCGACGCGATACGTCGGCTGTTTTCTCAGGGTACAGGGACCCCTGTTTTGATTCCAGTTTTTTCGACGAACATCCCCGACTCCTTTATATGGGAGCCGGAGTGTAGAGAGTCAAAATA